CCTCACTCTCACTCTTTTAAAATGGGATAAAATGATCCAAAAATCAGCCTAACACAACAATATAACCCCAAAAGAAATAGCTAGGGAAAAGACCAAAATGCCGTTAAAATTTTCGGACGGATTCCCTGCCAACCGCCCAACTTTCAAAGGGCTTAACTCGCTCATACGAACTCGTAATCGAGCAAACTCGGTGGCATTGGAAAGATCATTCCACAAGCTTCAAAATCTTAACTGGAACTACTCCTAACTCATCTTGAGCTAGGAGTTATGACTGCTCAAAGTTGGCCAACACTCACTGATTTCCCACACTTAACCAAATTTCCAGATTTTGAATTTTATTCCAAAAATGACTATTTCCGATTTCAAGCTTTTTCATAGTTATTTCAAATTGCCAGATGTTACAAGGAGTCTCTATCTGACTCTGTATCAAAAGTTACCACCTGCTTTCCCTTAGTTTTAGTACTATCCTGAAAAGCACAATTATTCAAACATATATATGGTGAAGATTAGTTGAAATCGAATTCAGAAAGAAAACACAGTTCAAAAATGCTTTGAGGCTCGCTTACTGGGAAGGCGGTCCACCTCACCAAAATGGACAGTACATATTTTCAAAGAACTCAGGCATGCTGGGCGGAGTCAACTCCAACTCGGCAATTGGCCAAATTAGTTTTGGCGGGATAAGAAAAGTCCACCAAAAGTGACAGAGAAAAATTAAAGTAAACATGCATAACGGTGATGTCCGCTCCAACTTGGCGACTCACCGAGTAGATTTCGGCAAACCAATACAAGTACGTTAAATGGGAAATTACCCATGTTACACATTCAAGCATGAAAGGTGTGCTGAGGCTTACTCGGCGATTCACCTAACTGCCTTGGCAAGCTAAGACAACCCTGCCAAATAAGCAGTGTTCAGCCCAGTGACTATTTTTATGCAAAATATCAACATACACAACAATACTTTGTTCATCATTAACTTTATAATCTACCCACATGTTTTTTCGACCCTGGAGTACTTAAACTTCCCCTAAAGAACACAAATTATTACTCTATTTTTCCCTTAAGAAAGTTGTCACTCCATCTATCATTGGGCAAAATCATATAATCGGGGAAATATTGGGTTAATCAGACTTCACCCACATCATACTCAACCAAGACCCAATACATATGAGAACTCAATTTCAATATTTAACCAACACAATCAATTTTAGAAATTCTAGGCACAGATTCAAATATCTTACTTATGGGCACAGTTCAACATAATCTATTTAGAATTACCTAAATAAATCAACCAACAATATACTTTAAATGAACTTTAGCCCATTTCTAAAAACACAATTTTAAGCACAAACAATGAGATATGATTCAAAGGCCAACCTCAAGTAGACACAAAGTACAACAAAAAAGGAAATGTAGGGTTGGGTCACAAAGAAAGCAGTTCAAATGCACTCGAAGTACTTAAAAGCGCACACACGAGGCACTCTCACACTAAAATATGGTATTGAAAGCTTAAGGAAGAAAAAGAGTTCAAAGATATTAAAGGGTTTTTTTAATATGAAAAGACCCTTCTTTTTATTCCACACACGTTCAGCTCTCTATTACTAACGTCTCTGAGTGCATTCAGTGAATTATCGAAGGAGTTGAAGCTTGCCCAAAATGCCAGAAAGAATACCAAACCTGAAGGTTTATTCGGTGAACTCGATGGAGTCCACATAGTATACTTAGGCAGATCACCATTTGGATCTCATATCTCCTAAATTAACAACACATTTTTTCCAACTCAAAAGATGGACAGGAATGAGTCTGCACAATGCATTCGGCAGATCGCCGATATGGTTTTGGCATCACCTAGTTATTCCATCGCAACATTTTGACTTACTTTAAATTTGCACTCACAAGACTGTAACACCCCAGATATCTAATGACCTAAACAAGAGCCTAACATGTGGTCTAGTATCCTAAATAGGATTAACATGAGGATTTGAGCCCTAAAATAACTTCCCTAAGTTAGTACTAAGGTGTTAGTCCCTAAACGTCAAGGCATGACCCCCGAAGGACCAACCAAGGGTCCTTGAGGAGGTCCTTAAATTGCAGCCAAAAAGCTGCATGAAGGCAGTTACCTACGAGAGGGGCACCCACGCCTCGTGGGTGGACTCACACCCTGTAGGTGGGAGGTTGTGATTCAAGACTTAGTTTTCCCCCAAACTCCCCCAAAACTCCAAGTTTCAGTCACAAACCACGCTTGTATACAGTACAATCCATGAACCAACTCACGCCCCGTAGGTGAGGGCTCGTTAGTAAGGCCTAGACCAAGGCCAAAAGACCAGCCTCATACCCAACCCACGAGTGATCAGTACGGTCCGTGAGTCCATCCACTCCCCGTAGGTGGGGGCCATGGATAGGGTCTGCAAAAGTTGTCTTGAGCTCTGCTAAGTGAGGGGTAGTTTCATAAACTCTAAATCAATTAATTAAGGGTGGGGACGGTTATTATTAGTTATTTTAGACCTATACAAATACTTCTAAGTCATTAAACTGCACTTAACACCTCATAAGTTACAAGACCCAAAACCAACTCTCCTCTGTCAAAAATTCTCTCTCTAGGACTCCATTGAAGAACCAAGTCAAGGTCAAGCTAGGGGATCCAAGAACCAGCCTTTCTTCTCCAATTTCTTGTGGAAATAAAGCTAAGGTATGGATGCTTTTCATTGTTGGGTTGATATCACCCAAGGAACCCCTTCAAACTATGTTTTTAAGACTTCAAAACCTAGAATTTTCAATCTATATCATGAGTCTTCTTCCAAAACAATTACAATTGTTTAATTATGGTTTATTATGATTGATTATGATGATTTATGGTTGTATTAATGTATTATTGATGGATTTTGATTAAAATCTCCTATGGACCCATGATTCCCCTTTCTTCCTAAATTATGAACTAAGTTGTGACTTGATTGATCACAGAAACTTGACAATTGATTTTGTTTACATGAATTATGTTATTGAATCATGATTTCCCCTATATAATATAGTGATTTCAATAATTTAGGGTTGAATGTGATTTATGGCCTTGAAGGGAAAATTGCTAGGGTTTGTATAAGTTGATGAAGATTCTATATGAACTCATGATTCACCTATGTAATGATGATCATATGACTATTGTGTATTGGTGGTATTGATGCAAGATCTTTCTCCCCTACACCCTTACACATGATCATGCATGAAAGGACTATGATTATGATATTAATGTTGTATTGATTGAAAGGTTATTCTCATGAAACACTAGGAACATGATGTGAAAGGTTTACTCACATACGAAGGATTCTAAGAGTGAATGGCCATTCTCACCTAAAGAATACATGAGCTACCATGATACTATGATGGTTTGAGTGCTAGACATTCTTACATGAACATGAATATAAAGTAAAGACTTAACATGATTATTAAAGGGAATTAAGCTTAGCACCGAGTAGATAGGATCATGAGATGGAAACCTTATACCTCAAGTAGTTCATGTTTCTAGTAGCAATCTCCTTATCATATAACAATGTGCCCAAATAGGTCCTTAGCTAGTGGATCCACCTATAAGCTAAACATGTTAGTTCTACCTTAGGAAAGTAGAACACCTCTTTTTGGTGTGGGTTCATGACACCAGATTCCATGTAGTTCACATAGTCTATGTCGGTTAAGGCTATATTTCCCTACATGACAAGAACAAGAATATGAACTATGAACAAGAATATGAGTTATGTGCTATGATTACTTAAGGAGTTTTACTTAGTCTGAGTGGGGGTATCGGACTCCACGTATACATTGGACAAGTAAGCTTTGAGAATGATTGTGTTATGTGTTTGATGACATGATACTTTATGAGTTAATGTATGCTTTACATGAATATGTACCATGGTTATGAACCATGAACATTAACCATGAATAAGAACATGAACATGAACATGAATATGAGCTATATTCATGACTTCTTAGTAAGCTTGCTTAGTATGAGTGGGGATATGGAACTTCACCTGTACATTGCACTAGTAGACTTATAGAGGGGTTATGGTGTGGTTTACTTATGACATGATGATGTATGAATCTATGTATTCATGACATGAATTGATGTAAGAGTGCATTCCTTTATTGTGAACTAAGAACATGAATGCCTCTTTGACTATGAGTGTTGACTACGAATGAGGTCAAGATAAGTTATGCATGATTCTGGTAGCCTAGGGTTTCTTATGGTATAATTTGACTTTGTAATTACTCTAAATGTGCATGACGGCTTTTAAACTTGAAAAAAGCATGATTTCAATTAAATGTCCCTTTTATGCATGTTTTAAGTATTTTTATGCATGGCTCCATAATTAGTACAATTAATTGTGCTAACCCATATTCTCTACATTTTCTTCTAAGTGTAGGTTCCGGTCGTTGAGACGCATTTCCTTTTCAAGTGAAGCTTGGGTTGACTATTCCCTAAGCTTGGTGATTCCTCAAGTTCGAGGACGGATTATCCATTTCTAGCTTTCTATTGTACTTTCTATTTTCAAGACTATTGATGTAAAGGGCTATGTCCCTAAGATTGTACTCTATTGTTTTAGATGGTGTATGAGACAAGGTCTAGATTCTTATGATTCTCTTTTACGGAAAGATTTATATTGTAAAAGTTTTAAATTTTTCTGCATCATTACCATGTCTTATGTTATGAATATGCTAAGGGCATGTATGAGACCCCTTCGGGGTGAAGTATGGCATTTTACTTCTAAGGGTACCCCCTGGGTTGTGACAAACTTGGTATCATAGCATAAGGTTTTGCGATGATTTTTAGGTTGATGTCTCCTAAACCACGTCTAGTAGAGTCTTGTTCATGAGTGTGAAGCACGCCATACTTATGAATGAGAGTCTATAAGATGCTTAGGAACTTTCACTTCTTTTGATTACTCTTTGGTCGTGCCTTACAGTTTAACACTATGAAGTAATTTTTCCTAACCTTTTTCTTGTGTATATAGAATATGAATACAAGAAGGGTGAATGCAAGGAGGACAGAAGAGGATAATGTGAATGAGGGAGTTCCTCCCCAAGCTCCTCAAGGTCCTCAAGATCCTAATGATGAAGGGGCTATGACTAATTTGGAAATAAGGGAGGCTCTCCAAACATTGACTCAACTCATGACGGTTCAAACTCAAGCCGTCACCACTCAAGCCCAAGCTATAACGGCCCAAGCTAATCTCAATGTTGGGCCCCGGGTAAACCCTAATGTGAGTACCATGGCTTCAATGTTGAGAGACCTCACAAGAATGAACCCTCTTATGTTCTTTGGTTCCAAAGTGGATGAAGACCCACAAGAGTTTGTGGAAGAGATCTACAAGATAGTTGATTCTACGGAGGTGACTTCTAGTAAGAAAGTTGAACTAGCCGCCTACCAATTTAAGGATATGGCCCAAGTATGGTATACTCAATGGAAGGATAATAGGCCTATAAGGGCGAGTCTCATAAGTTGGGAAGTGTTCAAGAAGGCATTCATTGATAAGTTATTTCCACGAGAAAAGAGGGAAGAAAAGGTGGAGGAACTTATCAACCTTCGTCAAGGAAGTATGAGTGCTCAAGAATATTCTCTTAAATTCACTAAGTTGTCCAAACATTCTCCGTCCTTGGTGTCAAATTCGAGAGATAAGATAAGTCGGTTTGTGACCGGAGTGTCCGAGTTAATTGAAGAAGAATGTTATGCAGCAATGCTACATAATGATATGGACATCCCACGTCTAATGGTTTATACTCAACAAGTTTAGGGGACAAAACTTAGGAAAAAGAATAGGGAGGTGAAGAAGGCAGGGACCGATGATGGGAATTCTTCCAAGGGTAAGTTTGAGAGTCAAGGTAAACCAAGGTTCAACAGAAGGCTCTCCAACCAAGGCTCTTCAATCACTCCAAGGGTCAAGAAAGATAGGGTGTCTAACCCTAAGCCTCAAGGAGGCAATAGTGGTGGATCTTCAATGACAAGACCTACTTGTCCCAAGTGTGGCAAGAAACATAAGGGGAAGTGCCTTGTTGGCACGGATGGTTGTTTCCATTGTGGAAAGAGTGGTCATATGGTAAGAGATTGTCCCATGCTTAAAGTTCAAGGGAGAGAAGGCAATCAAGTCCCTCCTAGTGGATCAAATTCTGATGCTCCCAAGAAGAATCGCTTATATGCCCTCTAATCCCGAAGTGATCAAGAGGGTTCCCCAAACGTTGTTACCGGTATGTTGCAAGTATTTTCTATTGATGTTTATGCATTATTAGACCCCGGTTCCACCTTATCATTTGTTACACCTTTAGTAGCTATGAAATTTGAGATACTTCCGAATGTATTAAAAGAACCTTTTCGGTGTCTACCCCGGTTAGTGAATCGGTAGTGGCTAAAAGAGTCTATAGGAGTTGTCCTATTTCTTTGTCTCATCGAGTCACTTTGGTTGATTTGGTAGAATTAGACATGCTTGATTTTGATGTAATCTTGGGCATGGATTGGCTGCATGCGTGTTATGCGTTCCAAAAGAGCCAATTTTAGAATGGAAATGGGGGAATTCTATTCCTAAAGGTCATTTGGTTTCATGTCTAAAAGCTAGAAAAATGATCTCCAATGGGTGCATGTATCATATTGTTAGGGTTATGGATCTTGAGTCCGAGACTCCTCCTTTGGAGTTGGTCCTTGTAGTGAGGGAATTTCCGGAAGTCTTTCTCGATGACTTGCTCGACATTCCTCCCGAACGGGAAATAGACTTTGGCATTGATCTTTTGCCGGATACACAACCCATATCCATCCCTCCTTACCGGATGGCTCCAGTCGAATTGAATGAGAAACTCAAAGACTTGTTAGACAAGGGTTTTATTCAACCAAGCATATCTCTGTGGGGTGATCCGGTATTGTTCGTAAAGAAAAAGGATGGGTCCCTTAGGATGTGTATAGACTATCACCAATTGAACAAGCTCACTATAAAAAATAAATATCCTCTCCCTAGAATTGACTATTTGTTTGACCAACTCTAAGGGGCGAGTTACTTTTCGAAGATTGACCTTAGGTCGAGTTATCACCAACTAAGGGTGAAAGGGTTAACATTCCTAAAATGGCCTTCCGAACAGGATATGGTCACTATGAATTCCTAGTCATGTCTTTTGGTGTAACAAATGCCCCGACAGTATTCATGGATCTAATGAATTGGTATTTAGGCAATATCTTGATTCGTTTGTAATCATCTTTATTGACAATATTTTGATTTATTCAAGTAGTGAGGGTGATCATATGAAGCATTTGAGGATTGAGTTACAAGTCCTTAAAGACCACCAATTATATGCTAAGTTTAGTAAATGTGAGTTTTGGCTAAGGTTGGTTGCCTTCCTTGGTCATATTGTGTCGGACATAGGTATTGAGGTAGATCCTAAGAAGACGGATGCGGTCAAGAGTTGGCCTAGACCTCTATCTCCTATTGATATTAGAAGCTTTTTGGGTTTGGTCGGTTATTATAGAAGGTTTTTTTAGGGTTTTTCCTCCATTGCTTCTCCATTGACGACTTTAACTCAAACGAAAGCTAAGTTTGTGTGGTCGGAGGCTTGTGAGAAAAGCTTCCAAGAATTGACAGATAGACTTACCTCCGCTCTGGTGTTGACCTTACCGGAGGGTACCGATGTGTTTGCAGTGTATTGTGACGCTTCTCGAGTGGGTTTGGGATGTGTCCTTATGCAATATGGTAAAGTGATTGCCTATGCTTCAAGGCAACTCAAGGTTCATGAGAAGAATTACCCGACTCATGACCTTGAATTAGCGGCGATTGTTTTTGCATTGAAAATATGGAGACATTACTTATATGTGGTCCATGTAGATATGTTTACCGACCACAAAAGTCTTCAATATGTGTTTAGCCAAAAAGACTTGAATCTCTGACAAAGAATGTGGTTAGAGCTTTTGAAGGATTATGACATGAGTGTCCTTTACCACCCCGACAAAGCTAATGTAGTTGTGGATGCCCTAAGTAGATTGTCCATGGTAGTGTGGCTCATGTAGAAGATGAGAAGAAGGAATTGGTTCGTGATGTGCATAGGTTGGCCCGGTTAGGTGTCCAACTAGTGGATTCCACTAAGGGTGGATTCATGGTCCATCATAGCTCAAAATCGTCCTTTGTGGTTGATGTAAAGTCTAAGAAACACCTTGATCCTATTTTGATGGAGTTGAAAGAATCGGTTCTCAACAAGTCCGTTGAGGCTTTCTCCCAAGGGGGAGATGGGGTGCTTAGGTACCAAGGTAGATTATGTGTTCCGGATGTTGATGGCCTAAGAAAGCGAATATTAGAAGAGGCTCATGGTTCATGGTATTCTATTCATCCGAGAGCCACCAAGATGTACCGTGATTTATGGGAAGTCTATTGGTGGAATGGCATGAAAAAGGATATAGCGGGTTTTGTGGCCAAATGCTCGAATTGTCAATAAGTTAAGGCCGAACACCTAAAACCCGGAGGTTTGTTCCAAGATATAAATATTCCCACTTAGATGTGGGAGGAGGTGAATATAGACTTTGTTGTAGGTTTGCCTCATACTCGAAGGCAACATGATTCTATTTGGGTCATTGTTGATAGGATGACTAAATTAGCCCACTTTATTCCCGTCAAGGTTTCTTTTTCGGCAAAAGACTATGTCAAGTTGTACATCATGGAAATAGTGAAGTTGCATGGGTTCCCTTGTCTTCAGTTCGGATCGGGGTACTCAATTTACTTCACATTTTTGGAAAGCACTCCAACAAGGGCTTGGTACAAATGTTAAACTTAGTACCACTCTCCACCCTAAAATGAATGGCCAAGCGGAATGCACCATTCAAACCTTAGAGGACATGTTGAGGGCGTGTGTGATAGATTTCAAGGGTAGTTGGGATGATCATCTCCCATTGATAGAATTTGCCTACAACAATAGCTATCATTCAAGCATTGACATGGCTTCGTTTGAAACACTATATGGTAAGAGGTGTAGATCTCTAGTTGGTTGGTTTAAAGTAGGTGAGTTTGCTCTAATTGGTCCCGAACTATTTTATGATGCCATTGAAAAAGTTCGAATTATTAGAGAGAGGTTGAAAATGGCCCAAAGTGGGAAAAAATCTAATGCCGATGTTAGAAGGAGGGATCTTGAATTTGAGATTTGTTATTGGGTCTACTTGAAAATCTCACCTATGAAGGGTGTGATGAGGTTTGGTAAAAAGGGGAAGCGTAGTCCACGGTATGTGGGCCCATATCAAATCTTGAAACGTGTTGGGAAAGTTGCATATGAATTGGACTTGCCAAATGAGTTGGCTCCGGTTCACCCGGTGTTTCATGTTTCCATGCTTAAGAAATATATTGGTGATCCGGTATCCATCCTTCCTTTAGAGGGTTTAGGATTTGATGAAAGCCTTTCTTATGAAGAGGTCCCGGTAGAGATTTTAGACCGGCAAGTCAAGAGGTTGAGAAACAAGGAAGTAGCTTCCGTGAAGGTTCTATGGAGAAATCACTTAGTTGATGATGCTACATGGGAGGCCGAGGCCGATATGAAGTCCCATTATCCTCACATTTTTCCTTTTACTCCTATTCAAGCTTGAGGTAAGTAGTTCCTCTTAAGTTTTGATGTTTTGGGAGTCATGTGTGTGGTGCAAGTTTTCCATGATTTCCTTATGTTGTGCATGTTCTTGTGAGAATTCATGTTTAGCATAAATTGAGTTTTCATGATTTATATGTTCCTCATGTTGAATTGCATTTTAGTATGATGATTACACTTTTTACTTCATGAGGTGAATTGATGAGCATGCTTAGTTTTGTTTTGATGAAATGACATGTTGGCTCCATATTGTTGTGTTGATCTTGTTTGAGTTGGAGAAGGTAGTTCCTCCCATGTTTATATGAATTGATGAGTTTCATGCATATTGGGTTGGTAGAGGTAGTTCCTACTTACTTATATGTCATTGGCCATGTTGTGAAATGGAGTTGAAGTTTCCTCCTTTTGAATAGTGCATTTGTGAATTTTGCACATTTTTGATGTTTCATGAATAATGAGCTGCTAGTCTAGAGTTTCTAACTTAGTTTGATGTCTAGATTATCATTCGGGGACGAATGTTCCTAAGGGGAGATAATGTAACAACTTGGAAATCTAATGACTTAAACTAGAGCCTAACATGTGGTCTAGTATCCTAAATAGGATTAACATGAGGATTTGAGTCCTAAAATAACTTCCATAAGTTAGTACAAAGGTGTTAGTCCCTAAACGTCAAGGCATGACCCCCCAAGGACCATCCAAGGGTCCTTGAGGAGGTCCTTAACTTGAAGCCAAAAAGCTGCCTGAAGGCAATCACCTACGAGAGGGGCACCTATGCCTCGTGGGTGGACTCACGCCCCGTAGGTGGGGGGTCGTGAGTCAAGACTTAGCTTTCCCGCAAACTCCCCCAAAGCTCCAAGTTTCAGTCACAAACCACGCTTGTACAGTATGGTCCATGGACCAACTCACTCCCCGTAGGTGAGGGCTCGTGAGTGAGGCCTAGACCAAGGCCAAAAGACCAGCCTCAGACCCAACCCACGAGTGACTAGTACGGTCTGTGGGTCCATCCACTCCTCGTAGGTGAGGGGTCGTGGATGGGGTCTGCAAAAAGCTGTCTTGAGCTCAGCCAAGTGAGGGGTAGTTTCGTAAATTCTAAATCAATTAATTAAAGGTGGGGATGGCTATTATTAGTTATTTTAGACCTATACAAATACTTCTAAGTCATTAAACTCCATTTAACACCTCCTAACTCACAAGACTTAAAACCAACTCTCCTCTCCCAAAATTCTCTCTCTAGGAGTCCATTGAAGAACCAAGTCAAGGTCAAGCTAGGGGATCCAAGAACCAGCCTTTCTTCTCCAATTTTTGTGGAAATCAAGCTAAGGTATGGATGCTTTTCATCCTTGGGTAGCTATCACCCAAGGAGCCCCTTCAAACTATGTTTTTAAGACTTCTAAACCTAGGGTTTTCAATCTACATCATGGGTCTTCTTCCAAAACGATTTCAATTTTTTAATTATGATTTATTATGATGCTTTATGGTTGGATTAATGGAGTATTGATGTATTTTGATGAAAATCTCCCATGGACCCATGATTCCCCTTTCTTGCTCAACTGTGAACTAAGTTGTGACTTGATTGATCACGGAAACTTGACAATTGATTTTGTTTACATGA